ATCCCTGGAACCAGTATCTACCACCTCCTGGAAACCACCCAGTCAATCCAGCCCTGGGAGATCTTATCAACCACAACAGGTCAGGGTCAAGTATACATGTAATGGGACAGCCTGATTCAAGCATCTCAACCCCATCATTGGGCTGCAACTATTGAAGCGGATTCAAAAAAAAACACCCTCTGATTCGACAGTGCACTGGAGACCTCTCTAGACACTGTAAAACTGGTGCATCAAGTTTCAGGCGAATACGAGTGACTTTCTCCTCAAAGTGCCTAGCAAATTTCTCACAGGTGACTAAGGGTTCCACTCCTAACCTTTTTGCGTCTGATCCCAGCCAGCTCTCAGCTACTGAGAACAATTCTTCAGGGCAGCAGGTGGAGGATGAAATAATATTAGCAAAGTTTAAAAAAAAACCTGCCCTCTTAAATGCAATATAGTAGGCACAATAAGAAGTCCTCACTAGTTTCCGATTATACTCGCCAATTCTGATTGGCAGCCTTTTCAAGCAAGGTTTCAAGCAAGATTCGTTCTTAGCTCTACCTAGAGATCCCTGTTATTACTCGGTGATTGCCCAATTCAAGTATTAACCCAGCCTGACTCTGCTTGGCAGCGTACCACTAAGTCTGAATCCCTTCCAATGTACATAAAGGACATGCCTGTTATAAACACCCTTGGGCTTCAGTCCTATGCACACTTATTGAATACCATGGCTTTACTTCCGAGTGGACATGCATCGGATTTTAACAGCTATAAAGAGGAAGGGGAAATGGTTCTGCTTCACGTACATTTGATCAGTTGAATGGCTCTTGTTTCCAGTCCAGACTCATTAGAAGGCAACGGCAGGCCTTATTCAAGCCCCCTTTTTTACACTGTCTGCAGGCAAAGCAGCAAAGCAGGAGTGCTTGCCAGGAAGTGCACATTCCTGCTTACATTCTCAATGAGGAGATTGTACAAATAAGGAAGCAAACAACCTCCAGTCACACTGACTTTCAGAGCAGGCAAAATAGCAGGTGGGTGGGTGAAGAGATGGAGGGGAGAAAAATCTATCTGTGCTTACCAAAAAGGGAAAGGAATGAATAGCAATAAAAGGAATGGTTGTGAGGGAGGGATGGGTGGGAATAATAAAAAAAATAAAAATAAAATGAGAGCAAGATCAAGACACTGGGAAAGAGAACTAAAAATGTATTTGAACTTGAATTTGCAATGCAATGGGCAACCCAGTCCTCGGCAAGCTTATTCAGAAATAAACTCTATGGACACAACAGAGTTCAGCTGACTTCAGTGGCTTTTCCTTGGTACCATGTTCTGTATCTTTCCTTCATTGTCCCCAGAACTTGGAAAGTTGCTTTTATAAGTGATTCTTTCCTGCTACAGTGCAAGGAAGTAATTTCTTGCTGATATTTGTTCCACTGATTTAAAAGGTTGCTTGTTGAATTGCTCCCTACTTTTCGTGGCTTTTCAACGCAAAAAAGCAAAACCAAACACACACTGCCCATATCTTAGGATCAATAATGGGATGGCATAAAACTTGAAATGCTCAAAATGCCTTAAGTATATCCATTATAAGTATTTTTATACGTCGTGAGCATTCTCATTTCCTGAAGATTGTTTTCACATTTTGCTTGACTTTTGACATGTGACGTCCTCAACCCCTTGGTGGGAGGAAAAAACAAATCCACTGCAAGTAAATATTTTTACTTGAAAAACCTTGATGGTCTCAATGATTCCAAAACAACTTCCATTGAATGTATTCGTTTTATTGTGCTCCAAATTATATAGATTGCAATCTTACCACTAACACAGTACTTGGGAATAATTCTGTACATCCTGATTGTCTTAATGATTTGAAAGCAACTTTTAGTGAATATGCTGGTTTTACTGCAGCCCAAAATACTTGTCATTTCAATATTACCAATACTTGGGAATAAATCCTAAAGGGATTTATTGGGGGTGTACTTCTGCATAAGCATATATAACAGCATTATGTTATGCTGCATTTCCAGATAAAACCCACGTTCTGTGAGATAAAGCAAAACAAACTTTGCATTTCCAGATAAAACCCACGTTCTGTGGGATAAAGCAAAATAAACTTCTGTGGTGAAGCACAAAATTAATATACATTTATGTACATCATCAGCAACAATACAGAAATCTTTGGAGACCTCTCAGGAAAAGATGGTATGAAATGAAAAGTATTCGGAAGTGGTAAGTCATTCAGGAAGTCTCTGAAAGAGAAAGTGTCCAGTTTCTGCAGATCCACAGGTCCACCTGTCTTTGTCGCTGTAGAGCCTGGTGAGATTCTTACACTGACCACAAAATTACTTACTGCCATTCAATAATATTTTAACATTCAGATTATTCATTCCACTTCATATATTTGGTTCACTGATGTTCTTTACTAAACATGTGCACTGGGCCCCAACATGGTCTCTCCCTAAATAAGGGCACATACATTGGGACCCACTCTGCCCTTGTGTCCTTTTGGAGACACTCCAGTCAGATCCTTGCCCATCTCTGTTTCAGCATGTGTGTGAAATTCTGTTCTTACAAACAGGGAAACACAAACAGTTTCGGTGTGGTGTGAAGTTATACAGTAACATTAGAATAATTTCAGGCAGAAATATTTGCTCACCTCTAGCCCAAGAAAAAGGGGCGCACATGACAGCTATTAGGACCATTGGCAGTGACATGATTATATCTAGAACAAAAAAGTCAAGGCTGGGAGGGGATGGAAAGATGGACCCAAATGCCAGTCAAGTTCTGACTTAACTACAATGCAGGCAGCCATCTGCTCACACAAAGTCAGTCCTAAGAGCCTGATAAAGTTTTCAAAAAGAAGGGGGAAAAAAAGTCAAGGCTGGGACTTTAAAAACACACACTGCAACTTTAAAAACATGCAGAGTGACAGCAAGAGCCCAGTGACATCATTCTGAGACCTTTCCTAGTTGTTCAGAAATTGGGGTGTCCAGAAGTCTTAGGCCAGGGGTGTCCAATTTTTCGCCTTTCCTGGGCCACATTAGAAGATCAAAATTTGGTTTGGGCCGCACATACATTTGGTTTGGTCCGCATGGGGGGGCAGCCCTAGCCGTCCTCCGCAGCCCGCTCCAAGCGCGCTTACCGGCAGCTGCGATCTCAGACAGCAGAGGCTGCCAGCTTCGACTCCGGTGGCTTTATGGGGCCAGGAGGGGGTCCACCTATTGACGGGGACGGCACAATGCAGTCACGCAGCCCCCCGTCCCCTCCCCTCCCACTCCTTCCTTCCTTCCCTCTCTCCCCCTCTACTGTTGTGACATGCCCCGGCCACATTCCAGCCGCAAGCGCCGGCAGTATAACTTGAAACTTTGGAATTTCTTTTAAAATAAAAAATTGCACTGGGCCGCATTACGAGCTGACCTGGGCTGCATGCAACCCTTGGGCCGGGCATTGGACAAGCCTGTCTTAGGCCTTATTGTGAGTTCAGCTGTCAATCTCCGTCTACTCACTTTGGTGTCTACTCACTCCTCTTTATCTTCAGTTTATAACTCCAAGAGTGCTGTATGGAATAGGAAGAATCTGTGCGGGGAGCTACTCCACTCTGTGGCTAAACAGGGTCTACTTGCTTAAAACCATGCTTATGTTTGTATTTAACTTCTTTTTCTTTAAAAAAGTTTGTTAACACCTCTATCTTTTACCAAAAGATCTGGGAATGGTCAGTTGTGGGGTCGAGGGTGAGCTGGCCCCTTCTGCTTGCCTCCCCTAGACTCCTACTATGCCTCTGCATCAGGCACAGCATCAATAATTTCATGCTGCATTTTCCATATGCTGGTGACTACACGAGTCCATTTCTGAAAGAAGCCACGGACACATGGCAAATTTGACAGGCTGTGCTGTCAGCGTAATTTGTGACACAACAACAGTCATTGGTGTCAACTGCGCTGAAGCCTTTTGCACTTTGGCAGATTCTTCTGTCTGCTGGGTCTTAAATCTCTGCGAATTTGCCTCATTCTAAAACATAACAAAATTCTACTAACACTTATATATAAACCTGTCATCTTGTATAAAATTTGCAGTTATTCTAGCAAAGGTGTTCTAGATGTGACTATGTACAGTATAAGCTACACAGAATCATATCTAGACTTACTAGAGGGGTTTTTTTCCAGATAAGACAAGACTACAGGTTTAATTACACATTCTTGAATACTGTCAGCATTCTTTGGACTTTATTCAGATCCAGCAAGGCACAAATAAAGAACCTCTAGGAAGTCAATAGCTTCGAAAGAGTTGTTCTCATATTGCTCGGTTCATCTTGTCTCCCTTCTACAGGAAAAAAAGGATACAAATTTAAAAAGGCTGCTTTTTATTTTCTCAGAGAAAAGGTTTCTTTTGTGCAAGTTATTTGAAGAGGCAGTATTAAATGGATTAACACACACTCTACAAGCCTCCATGAGGAGAGACAACCCACTAGCTACACATTTGTAAGTGCTTTCCCTGAAAATAAGACCTAAGCTGAAAATAAGACCTAGTATGATTTTTCAGGATGTTCATAATATAAGCCCTACCCCCAAAATAAGCCCCAGTTGAGTGAAACCCCAACCTCCACAATTGTGCAGCAACCAGAAGATGATGACAGAACTGTATTTGAATAAATGTAGATTGCCATACATGAAAAAATAAGACATCCCCTGAAATTAAGACTTAATGCATTTTTGGAGCAAAAATTAATATAAGACCCTGTCTTATTTTGAGGGGAACAGGGTAAATATCGCTAACATTCTGACCACTTTCCAATGAAAAATGAAGAGCATTTCTTAAAAAAAAAAACTTCTTTAGTCAAACCATTAAAATCAAAATGTTCATGATCTTCTGTACTGGTAAAGGTAAGTAGAGAGACTTAAGAGATGGCACAAATGCCTCATGGAAGCAAAACTGCCATGTAGAAAACACTCACTTAACCACCATTATTATAAGAACAGGCTATTTTGTAGAAGTTTGATCCAGCAAAAAAAAAAAAAAAAGCCTCAGCAGCTGCTCATCCACATAGACGCCCGGCAATTGTGAAAACTCATTAAGATTCCCTACAGCAGCTCCGTTCTCTTGCATGGCTTTAGAATGCCTCATTAGACATTCAGCAACCAGCTTCTTCTTCAGACCACTGTGTCCAGCTGGTCCTAGCCAAAGTTTAGGGTGTATAAAGTAGCAATTCCAACAGATTGCTGCTTTTTCCGCCTCTGCATGGTTTTGATTACTCACCGACTAAACTACCTGTGTTTAACTTTATCCATAACTGGGAGTTAGTTCTGGTAAACCAGGGTCAACTTTGAATACATACTTTGATTCTAACTTCTCCCAGTTATCACAGTCTGGCTTAAGATTCTGCACAGCCGCAATACAAGTAAAGGTGCTATCAAGATTTGCACAGGGCTCCCCAGTGCTACTAAGCGGTGAAGTGCAAAAACACATCAAGAGTTTGTATTATGCAATAGGCATTGAGGGACTGGTTGGAGGAATATAGCCAAGTCAAGAATTAAAAGTATATTTTAACATACCAAAAGAGCATGGTCTTCAGTCTTGTTGTTAGTCCTTCACAGTAATCCACAGTGACTACAGAAAGTTACTTAATTTGCAAAGCTCAAGATATTCTGAATGTCACTAATTAGTACCCTCTTTTCTAGCACTCCAAGGAAAGCAATGCAACTCTTTCTAACAAAGCGGTCCCTGAGACAGCTGAACCCATTTCTTCTGGGGCACATCCACACTTCAGCAGAATAGATGCTGATGTGTAAGAACTGACAACTTTGATATGTTAATTGCAATGTTATGCTCAACTCCAATTATTTATAAGCCTTTCTTCACGACAACCCTTACTATGGCCAGTCTGGGACTTGCATCACTTCCTCCCACTCCAGCTTAAATTATATCTTTACCATTGTTTATATGCTACACAAATAGAAAGTAGAGGCACTGTACAGATTGATAAAGTCTGTAAGGATTTGCTTGTTCTAGAGAATACAGCCCACTCCTGGCACAACACACATTTATTTATACCATACATTAAGGCCAAAATCCTGTTGCTTAGCACAGTAAATCGTGCTAAAGTAGGCCCATTGAATCTATAGGGACTTAGTGAGTCAACCGCTCTGTAAATTCCATTGATTCAAATGCTAAAGTAAACGGCTAATCAAGTTGCAGTTAGAATATGCCCATTTGAATCAATGGAACTTGCAGTCTTTAAGACTGAAACTTAGGATAGTAAGTGAATTACACAGAGCCATGCTCAAAAGGACAGGCTGATAGTTTTCTGGTTGGTTTCATTTAAAAGTGCTGGAATTACTTAATAATGCTTCCAATAATCTGATCTCAGTTTTTGTCATTAAAAGGTAAAGAACACGGTCAGGGGCTTCTCCCATAGTACAGCCACAGTTTTGGCATCATTTAATCAAATAAAATGACTGAGACAATGATCCAACTTCTTGGAAAGAATTATAGGAGTACACAGGCACCAACATAGAGATGATTGGTTAGCTTGCACCCATGCATTTCACCATATTCAGTATACTGTATTACCAACCAAATTTGCAGCACCGAATTCGAAAACAGCTAACAGTTTTCTTTATTCAGATTCCACATAGCAAATGTCAGATACAGCAGTTAGTCTAGAAAAAATACATCTTAAAAAAAATCTTTCGCAGACCATGTCTCTTGTAACAAAATCTTCTGAAACCTATTTTACAAATTAATCTACATTATTAATGTAAAAGGAATCCTGAAACTTAGCATTTTCATTATATCCAGGCATCCATCTATTCAAACAGAGGTCTTGCTATATGTAGATGTTAGAATTTTAACATGTTTATCTAATGTAGCTCCTGTACATATTAAATAATATCAGAGGTTCTGCTTGTAGTGCCTTCACCATGTAAGCAAACACACTCAGTATTCTTCCAGTACCATAGGCATCACAATGACTTGCATGCAGGTCTAATTACCATTTAAAAGTGCAGTTTTCCAAGTAGTCCATTGTTATGTAGAAACCCAGAATCTGCTGGTGGTATCACAATATCAGTTGGATGTGGTTAGAAATGTAGGGATACAAACTACTCTGAGATAACTGCCTTGTGAATAGAAATATTTAAGAAACCAAACACAGTGAAGGCTTCAGTCTATATTTCTGTCCAATTTCAGTACCACAGGTTAACACCAACAATTCAGCTCAGTGTTTAAAGCAGTCTTTCGTTAGGGTTGTTTGGCATGATAACATTTCGTTAGGGTTGTTTGGCATGATTCAGTTTTGGGCAAAACATAGCACAAAACAGACCCTGAAAAAGGAACTTATTAGCTGGAAATTCTGGTTCATCACAGACCGTGTTACATCCTCTGTTGGATGCACGTACCAGTTCAACATTTGAGTTAGTACTACTGTGCATCAAGAAGAACCAGCAAGAGTCTGTGCAACAGAAGTTAAAAAAAATGCCAACAGCAAAAAAAACAAACCTCTTGTGAGGAACCTCCACTGGCCACTTTGCAACATTTGTTTAGATCTATTAAATGAACACAGAAACCCTAAAGAGAAGAGGAATTACCTTACAGGTTTTGCATGTAAGCCTATTTTATAATTATTCATTAAAAATGTCCATGGCGATTTTCCAAGTCAGTTGATGAGGTTTATCATCCCCCAAACAAGTGAGCTAATATTAAAAATGAGTATTAAGTAAAAAGTTATTCCGGATTATTCAGACTGAAATTGAGATTCAGCTTCTCTCACCACAGAATCCAGTGTGAAAATCTATATTAGATGTGCAGTTTAAGTGTTACTAAAAATATATATAAACTTTGAAATATTCCACAATATTAATTGTAAGGAAATTCGAAGTCTGAATAGCTTCCAGGAAATCCCAGCTGACACAAATCACACTCTTCCATCTCCCACAAAAGTGCAAAAAATATCAAGTTGCTGCTTGGTCCACAAATACATCATGTACAAAAGAGATGAAGTATTTGCCAAAGAAAAATGGTACTCCTCCTAAGGCCAGCTTCGTTGGAGAAATGTCAGCGTCCAAAGATGGAGTTCAATTCCAGTAGAATTAATTCTACAATCTGGTTTTGATACACCGTGTGGACAGCTATGTTACCAGTCTCTTTCTCGGGTTTTAAAAGGGTTGGGCCAAAGACTATGGCTATACTCTGGTAAGTCATTCGGTTCTTCTCACCATTTTCTACGATTCTGAAGGGGAACAGAAGGGGAAAAAATACACTTCAGTCAAAGAAACTAAGAACGACAAAATGTCATTTACCAAAGACAGTTCCCTTGCCTCATCCTTGTAATTGCCTAGTCTGAAAAGGCTGTGTGTGTGACAAACACAGAGTTTTAGCTGCTCTGGACTCTTTATGAGGAAGGAAAAGACAAAAATAAAATAAACAAACTAAGCAATGGTTGTTGTGGGTTTTTCGGGCTCTTTGGCTGTGTTCTGAAGGTTGTTCTTCCTGATGTTTCGCCAGTCTCTGTGGCCGGCATCTTCAGAGGACTGGAGTGGGAACTCTGTCCATGCTCTGTTGCTGTTTGTTGGATAGTTGAGTATTTATAGCTGTGGGAAGAGCTTTTGTCTTTTTTCAGGAGATAAGGGTGATCAGCGTGTTTTTTGAAGATGCTGGCCACAGAGACTGACGAAACGTCAGGAAGAACAACCTTCAGAACACGTCCTAAGAGCCCGAAAAACCCACAACCACCATTAGATCCCAGCCGTGGAAGCCTTCGTGAATAAACTAAGCAATGGCTATTCCTTCTCCCCGTTCTGTATATGGAGCTTTGCCAGTCCACAAAATTAATTACACAACCCACACGCCAAGAGGTGGAACTTTGCAAGGTGTCAGGGCTGTGGGCTACGCACATGCCCAACTGGCAAGGCCATGTCATGACATTCTGCCAACAGTATTTCCCTTTAGAGCACTAGTTTCTCCCCCTCCCACAAAACACAAGGGGACACAATACGGAGCTACATTGTGCTTATGCTCGTTTTTTGGGATGCCAAGGTCATGGGACGGCCTCGGGCATGGGGACCTGCAAGGGGGAAAAGCCCGTCTTCCACTCTTAGCCTCCCCCACGTTTTTCATGTGAAACATGTAAGAGATTTCATTTCTCTTCCACGCACTACTTGCCTCTTGAGGTGTTTGAAGAGTACTTGCATGGTATCTTGATTTGGCTTTGGCAACTGTTTAATCAGCTCTCTTACAGCCTGAACACGCTGTCTTGGCTCTTGTTCTAGACAGGAGAGGAAAAGACACGAAGGGTTGGAATGAGAGGACATTAGCTAATATGTACCACCACCTGGTGGCCGCAGTGAACATTACTTACAAAAACAGAGGGCTTGGCTACTAAGAGGTCTGTAGCATCTTAAATACTAAGCACAGCATTCTGTTAGGATACACAAAACATAATGGCTCTGTGGGCAGAACGTTCTGTGCGATCTCCAGCTCACAGTTACACAAGTCAGAGATCCCCTCCTTTGAAAGCAATTGTTATTATGAAGACAGGAGGGCCTGGCGTGCTCTGGTCCATGGGGTCACGAAGAGTTGGACACAACTAAACATGTTATGTGTGCAAGGGGGTAGTCACGAAGAGTTGGACACAACTAAACAACATGTTATTATATGTGCAAGGGGGCAATAAGTACCCCCTCACATATAACCCAGAAAGAAAAAAAACCACACAATGGGCTATCGCGCACACAGTAAAAATGATGTTTATAGAGGCACCATTTACCCTTCACAATACTACACTGCTATCAGATGCCTGAAGTATTCAGCTAATGAGAACAAAACGATACTCTGAATAAAGTGAAGAAAAATACCAAAGATGACAAAATATGCATCCTTCATAATGAATTCAATGCAATCTGCCAACTGCAACTTCCTTCCTTTTTACAAAGGTTTGTTTCCAGGCAGTAGAATAAGTAGGCAGAAATAAAAAAAGAATAATTAAGTGGGGAAGCATTTTGACCTCCCTGGAATTTCTGCAGCTGATGGCTTAAAACAAACAAGAAAGTTGATTTGAACATGTACTTCCCAAACTGGAGTTGTTACCAATTGCAACTGCTGTGGAATTTGGTGTCATTGAAGCCTAGGAATGGTTATTACACCAGAAAACAAAATATTTTACACTATTAATCTTCCCAAGGCTATCCATTACCAGTGGCTTCTAGGTAACAGTGGGTAAAATACACATCATTTCAATTCTGTATTCTTGTGTTTAAATGTATGGACATAACACTCTAATACATTTATTATTATCTCTGGTATTTCTGGAACTTTTGGCCTAATTATCTAAAGGGGAAATGGTACTCTTCATTTTTCTGGACTCAGGAATCCATAAATGATCACTTCATAATCTGAATCATGAATGCTTAAACATGCTTAATCCTTGAGTCCCACTGCCAGCAGAAAGGTGGCATAGAAATGCAATAAATAAATATATATAAACAGTGTCTACACTACAGTACAGTACTAGACACATGATTTTCTAAACAGGAACAAAATTTACAATAAACAGTATGTCAAACAGATATTAAGTGGCAAATTTCCTAAATTATAGCTATTCCACAGCGGAATTGCTGCAAGGCTGCACTTGGGTGAAAGGTTTCTTTAGCAAAGACTTACTGATTGCATTGACAAAGTCATTGAAATGACTGAAAGTGAACAGTGGTTCTGGCAATTCTCTGAAAAACATTTTCAGAGCTCCTGTAATGACATGGATGTCCTCCCATTTACTGTCATTCAGGTCCAGTTTTTCATCTGAAAGAGATAGAAGAAATACACTGTTAGCTGCCTCGACTAAATCAAAATGAGCCTCTGTTGGCACAGTTCATTCTCTTCAATGCAAGAGCACCAGATAAGGTAGCTAAGAATATTCTGATAGAATATTAATGCTCAAAACCTTAGTGATTCCGTTTTTGTTAAGATCAAATAGAATACAATTCCTCTGCCCCACAATGAAAATACAGTCTGTCAGGGCCTGATGTGAAATCACCTTGGTCTTGCTTTACGAAAAAAAACATTGTTACGTATAGGAACTTACCATGATTAACTGCAAATCGTAGCTTCTGTATAACTGCAAGATTGCCACTCACTCTGTACAAACCATCAACATTCAAACCTGTAACAAAATTCAATTTCGTTCAATATATATTTTTTAAATGTCTGATATCTGTTTTTATTTCTGATATCATACATGGTATTTTCTAACATTTAGAAATGTAAAAAAAGTAAAGCTTGAAGAACAAATGCAAAATTACTCATTAACATCTAGGATAGCTCATTTTTCCAGAGATTTAAAAATAGGTAGGTAGAAGTTTTAAAGTGCCAGAGAAAGCGAATTTCTCAGATTTGTTTAGGAATCTGCTTTTAACAAAGCAAGAGATATGAAGTACTACTATTAGTACATTTGCCTTTTTCCCTTTCTCATATTTTAGGACCTCAATTTGCCAAGTTTATAATTCATAGATTCTAGGAACACATCTTCTCATTCATACATGTTTAATGAACATGTGCACTAAAACTGAGGCTATGGCAAGAGACGGTGGTGAAATCTTGTTATTCCCTGTAAGGCTGATGATGCCATCAGCAGCTGAAGTTTTTCAGAAATTAAATATTTCTGACTTCTGTCCCAAATCTCTGAAGCTCCCATGTAATTCCTTTCATCATCAGGAGCCCATGATTTCTGACTTCTGTCCCAAATCTCTGAAGTTCCCATGTAATTCCTTTCATCTTCAGAAACCCATAGGGGCTAAAGGCTGAGAGACAGAAATCTTTAATTACAAAAAATCACTTCCACCAGGTTGACATGACTGGTGGCATCTATTTTCATTAATTAAAGACTTCCTCCTTTTGTCCTATGGCCCCTGCAGCTTCCTGACAATTAAAAAGATTGCTTGGGAGCCTTGGGACTCAAGTCAGAAATGTTTAATTAAAAAAGCCACTATGTTGCTTAGGTAAGCAACCAACCTCGCTTTGGTACAAAACTCTTACGTTGTCTCCTCCTTCAGAGAATCTTACTTGTGGCTATCCCTTCAATGTTACCATTCCAAGATAGCTTACTGCGTCATTAAAGCAAACATTAAAACCTAACATTTTTAAAAGCCAACCTAGATGTAAATGATGCAATCTTAAATACTTATCAAATGGTAAACCACCGAATCCAGTGGAACTTATTTCTGAGTAGAAATGTACTGCACTGCACATCAGAACACAGCAGAACAATACAAACTTAGCAGCAATATGACCATACAAAATGTTACCTTTACAGGATACATGGGAGTGAGGAGAATGAAACTTTAGACATTTACAATTAGGCAGAAATCGTTAAAACACTTTATAAAATTTCAGTCCCAGTTTACAAATTTTCTAGAGAAAAGGTTTCCAGCAGTTAAGGAAGAAACAGTGTCGAGCCAGTAACATTTCCCCCCAAATCTGCTATATGGACATAGTATTCACATGAACTACGGAAATTTATTAAGGAAAAAAATTAATTAATTATATTGAAAGTATCTTCCACCTACCATGTTCTTCAACATGCTCAATACAGAGCTTCACAAATTTTGGCACAGTGCTGTTTTCTCTTTGACATAAGCTGCTGAGGTTGCAGCCAAATACTTGATCTGAAAAACAGAAGGTTTAGAAGTGACTGAAGTGAGCTTCTTAGATCTGAAAGAATATGATGACTAAATTGATTGAGTTAGAATGTAAGGAAGTGATCTGGAAGTCCGCCCATTCCTTCTGTCCAGTCATTGCCTCCCCTTTTGCCCTGGCTGGTCAGTGAACCCTCCAGGAAGGCAATGTGGAACACTTTAGAAATGCCAATCCCATCTTGAGGACAAGCCATTTTCTACATCCTTAAAGAAACAATTGCCCACCCCAGAAACACTAGACAAAGCTACCTCAGATTTTGTTTCTCACAAGTTCAGTGACAGGAATGCCTCTCTACTATCTGAAGAGGGGTGGAAACGAAAGAGAGAACCAGATGACTGGAGATACAAGTTTGAGACTGTAGCCTCTGGGCTTATTCTTTTGAATGTCTGAATTTATCACCCCCCTAACTTAGATCACCAGTTACATGTCCTATTTCGAATACTTCAACATGTAATTATTCATGTATGTACACAATATAATACCTTTTCTTTTCATAAAATACAGTAAATTTCTAGTTACTAGAACCAGAGGCCCTGTTTTCTTTTTCTAGATTTGCCATGGTTGCTGAGGGGAAGCTCTCTCCTTACTGTCATTCTTGAATAATCTCACTGAATTGCTATACATCAGCTAACATGAGGCTGTTCTAGCCCAGAACATCTGAACACAAGTTTGAGTTTTCACTTCTTAATCCACCAGCTACCCAAGCCTGCCTCACCTCCAGGCCTGCTAAATATACACCAGTCTAATAGGCACATGGGATCTGTCCATGTAGGCCAAGCCCCATAGCCAACATCCCACATAAAATGTCCGGTATAGCCACACAACTTAGACCATCAAATGCTGAAAGTGAAAGCCCGACAGTAAACTCAAGAACTAATAGTACCTAGGGGAATCTGGAAGTCACACAGCTGCCAGCCAGGGAATAAAAGCACAGTCTCTCACTTTGCATGGAGAAGACGACTCAAACTAGCCACGGAGTCATAGCTAGTAAACCACTCAGAGTGGCCTTGGCAGCCAGATGGGTGGTATAAAAGTCAAATAAATAAATAAAATGAGGCACACAGAGAAGGATCTTTTAGTGGGTATAAAAGTCAAATAAATAAATAAACTGAGGCACACAGAGAAGGATCTTTTAGTCCAAAATCTCATTGCAAGAGAGAGATTAGAATTATGGAAAACCCTGGAAAACACTTCTCGCCTCTGAAAGACACTTGCCTTTCCCATTTATATTTGAAAGGAATCTACAGTGGGCCCTCAACTTACGAACTTAATCCGTTCCGGGAGTCCGTTCGTAAGCTGAAACGTTCGTTAGTCGAAACCAAATTTCCCCATAGGAATGCACTGAAAATTAATTAATGCGTTCAAATGGGAAAAAAGGTCAGAAACTTAAAAATAAATAAAAGAAAGCCACTTACCAGGCCTTGGTAGCCCCTGAACTACAGGAAAAACAGCACCAAACAGCTAAAAACCGGGAGCCTGGCAGCCATTTTGTGCTCTTCTCCTCTCCTGCCCCCCTCTCCCCGCCTAACAGTTGATCGGATGGCTCTTAAGAGGCTTCGAAAGGCTTGCTCAGCACCTAAAAAGGCAGGGGAACAAAACTCCCCCGCTTTCAGAAGCCTCCCGGGGGCATAAGAAAAGCAGCAATTTTTTATTTCCAGCTTTATTCCCCTGCCTTTTTAGGTGCTGGGCAAGCCTCTGGAAGCCTCTTAAGTAGGGTTGCCAGATGTCAGGCAAAAGAAGGACATGTCCTCCTTTTTAGCCTAATGTCCTCCGTCAGGCAGGCAAAGATAAAAATCTTTAAAATGTCAGGCTTTTGTATATTTTATGGCTTTCCCCACCCCCACCTGCCCGCCCACTCCCGGTATTTTGAAAAAAAGCCTCCACTGAATTTATTTTTATTTTTTTAACATTACTGTTTCTTTGTCAATTCACTAAGAGACATTTATTGGCAGCTATTGTAATAAAATTGTATTGATTGTGG